CCCCAAAACCCCAAAACCCCAAAACCCCAAAACCCCGGGGTGTAAATTAGAGAATGAAATCAAGTTAAAAATAAAGCAATGAACCCTAAAACTCAAAACTATTTTTAAAAATTTGGGAACTGTGATTGGTTAGATCAATTAGAGTTCTTCTATTCTCATCTCATCGCTTATTTCTATTTGAAACTCTTCTTCCCTTTGATTCTTCTCTTTCTTGAAATCAAAGAATAGCCATACAGCTAATCCGATCGAAGTGAGAATAGTTGACATGAGAATTAAACAGGAGAAGCTGATACCTTGCTTACTTGAGTATGAGTCTGGTACTCCTCTGATAGCCTTTACAAAACTCAAAGGCTCACAAGTCACATGGTCATGTTCACGTCGTTGTAAAGAATTATAATAATCTATGTGATATTGGTAAAATCGATGATTAATTGCCATATACTGAGCCATTTCATATGGTTTCAGGGTGGAGTTATTAACGATTTGACTACCAAATGGCTGATACTCTGAGTCTAATGTATTTAGAGGAGGTCTATCATTCACAAGGATTTCCCAATTTGAATTACATTGATTTCCAAACTTAGGGTCATTTCCTTTTTTGACAACATCGATATATTCGTTCTTTACTAAAGTATGATTGACACCTATATCAGAAGGCACAGGGATATTTTCTCCAAGTCTATTCCTCAAGACAAAGTTAAATACACCAATGTACTGTGAGTTATACAGAGTGATTGCATTTATTCCAAGATCAGCGATTTCAACATGCTTTGTAAACCCTCCAAAGTCTAGCTTTCCGTTCAGTAGCTTCGCAGGAGTTATAAACATAAAAAGAGGGCATTGATTGTAAGAAGGAATGATTCTGAATTGAGCTATAGGCTCATTTACTTTCACATTTGATTCTATCTTCTGATCCCAAAACTCAGACATGTTTCTAAAATTAAAAATTGGAACTTACTCTGATGAGTGCATGTAGAACTGGAAGTTGGTTGCAGTCACATGACTCTGAACGTCTACAGAGTTCAATCCTTTATGATCTAAATTGAGCGCAAGCAATTACCATTGATGCCAAACTTCCTGTAAATCATTATTTCCACTCTGTTTTCCTCAGAGAATGTACACCCGATCGAGTGTGAATTAGACCATCCGAAGTAGTGATCCTCTGAATTGTGGGTTGTTCTGAGAGCTCCTCCATATACACAGGGGTATGTGAAGAACCCAGTCAGCTCAACATCATTGCTTCTCTTGACTCTGGCTTTCTTGTTGTAAATAGGTCTTTCAACAAGCTTCATTGAGTCATCCACATAAGCAGTGTATCTAGAATTCTCATTGTTGCAGTTTGAATGAAAGATTTGCTTCGATATTTCTTTCACTATAAAATTCAAATTTCATTGAGAACTGTTGTTGAAGGACATCTGACCCAACCAGTTGGATAGAGTAAGTCTTAAGTGCTTGGTCATCTTTATTTTTTGAATATACTTGCAGAATAGTTGTCAAATTTCCAATTTTGTATTCATATTTTTCAGTTAAGTCGAACTTCATAGCAGTCTTTTTGTGCAATGGGTTGAAAATATAGGGGCCAGACCTACTACCTTCATCAGTTCTGTAATAATTGAATTCCTCTGTAATACTTTGTTTTTGACTATCTCCCGTATTTGAGGTCTTAATAATTGTTTTTAGTGAACCATTATCATTGAATTCTAGCTTAATGTGAGTGTTTTCAAGGTCGTAATCTTCTCTAATCATTAATCCGTTTATTGTCTGAGAACAAGTTATATAATCTTTTTGACACTGATCACCTCGTTCATCCGAGTAAATATATACCATTGCAGTAGAGAGAGACTCTATTTCAAGTTCAAAGAATATTTTATAAACCTTCACAAGTTGATGAGTATTCTCATTCATTTCATAAAGCTCAGAGATATAGCTAGGAATGGTTTTGTTGGAAGAAGTAGTCTGGAGCACTGTAAATAGCTGTTTGTTAATGTAGTCGTTAGGAAGAGTTATGTTCATTACCTCGTGTCTGGTGTATGTAGAAGGGTTTACAAACATATAGCCTAATCATTTATTGTTTGAATTCGCAATTTTTCCTAGCAAATCTGAATTTCTATGATCGCGGCGATTGCGATAAGGGTAGCGGTTTTGATAATAGGACTTAAAAACTTCATTGAAACTATCCAGAGTCTCATTAAGAGATTTATAATAGCTTGATTCAACTTCAAATTCATAAGTTCCGGTAATAGCATCATGGCTGAGCAATGAAGCCCATTTCTTTTGAGTTTCTTCAATCAATAGATCATATGGTTTAGATTTGTAAGTTGTATTACGAAATTGAAAGGAAGAACTAATTGAGCCTTTACTACTATGCATAACACCCACAAAGATCTTGAAAGCCTGCAACTGATTAAACACGTATCTGATATAGCGCTTCAGGTGAAGTCTGGTAGAGTAGAACCCGCTCCAGAAGTCTTCAGTGGTGTTTGTAGGTTCGTTATAAGGTAAGAAGTCTCCTCTGAACAATCCTGACTTGCTTTCCCAATTATGAACTCCTGCAAAATAATCATACAGGGAGCTATATCTAGAATCAACTATCATTCTTTTCTCTGTAGCATCTACTCTCAGGCTATTGAGAAGCTCATTGTACTTCTTGAATAATTGAGGAGCTTGGACAAAGAAAAAGTCTCCTCCAAGTCAAACCATTGAATTAAAATTACTCGCTTCATTGTTACTTAGCACGCTAATAGAATTCAGAGATGGGCGAATTTCTCTTTCATAAATATTAGCCTTCTCTTCTTGGATGTTTGAGCTGAGAGCCATTCCTTCATTCCATACATTCAGACTGTTGTAATCATTTGTTAAAATGTGTGTAAGAAGGATATCATCTTCATGATTTTCTGAAACTCGATGACCTTGCCAATAAAAATTAAATCCATACTCATTCTCAAGCTTCTTCTTGTAATCAGATGAAATCTTGTTTCCAACCATTGCTTCGTATCCAAGCTTTCTTAAAACAGAGATTGTTGCAGAAGAATGACCATAAGAATCAATTTGCCATGCTATTGTTGGCTTTTGATAGAAATGACGGTTTAAAAATGACAATCCAGTTCTCATTTGAACCATAGTCTCTTTATAAGAAGGGAGTGCTTCATCACTCATAGCCCATCCACCTCCTACAATTATAAATTTACCATCTCTCATTAGTTTAGTCATTGTGTTAATTTTGGTTGAGTTAAATTGATTATAGTGATGAATCCACTTATCCAAAGAAGGAAGATCACTCCAATGAAATATCTTATCTTCTTCTTTTTGAAGTGTCTCGTAAATATTATCCAATATCTTCATTGTATATCTTTCGTAGCTTCCATGTAAAGGGAGTTGCCAGCCATCTCTAATGTTTGAATGTGCAATACCATGAATAGTCAGGTTCATATCTTGAGCAGATACTAAGATACACAGTCCAAGGAGAACCCCATATTTAATGTTAAGCGCCATATATTTCAAATATATTACTGAAGGTTGGGGTTTTGGGGTTTTGGGGTTTTGGGGG